CAGCTGAGTAATACAACAAAGTTGTGGCCCCTTGCAGAACGAGAGGAAACGATAATTTATACAAAACGCACCATTTCGCCATTTAGCAAAACAACTCGTTTCCAAAACAACCCAACAACATGGTTACATGCCTATCTTGGCGTCTTGTTGGTAACCATGTCGGGAAGATATAAAAATGGAGGTTTCAGGAGAAGATCGCAAGTTATCGGAAACCTCGAACGGACCGGTTCTAGCTAACAGGTACCTCCGGAAGTAAATACAGAGATTAAAACGAGAGGATAGACGAATCATCGGCTGAGACATCTAAAGGACCATTCCATAGTAAATAATAATATAACTATTCGTGCGTAAACACCGGAGGTAAACGGGCAAGCTGTACTTCTAGTCTTTCAAATAATGCGTATAACATACCCTACTAACTAGTGATGGTTACCGTCGTTGCTACTGACCACACTACCGACTTCAGACCAGCTGGCTGGCGTGTGCGTGCCATCATGGACGGATTCCAGCTCACTCAGCGTCCCGTCAGACATTCGCTCGAAGGCGTTATTCTGGATATGGCTGAAGCTTGAAGCGATTGAGGGCGCTGAAGAGACTGATTGGATAGTATGGCTCCCCTGCTGGTCCGCAAATGGATTTTCGCTCTCATACAGTGGTGGGTGTGGTGGTGCTGTGGAATTTTGATCAGCTCGGGGGGGACGTGCGTAGTAGAAGTCCGGCTCGTCATCCTCTGTATGCTGGGACGAGGCTAAGGAGAAATAGCTAGATTGTGAGGTGGGATCCTCTTGCTGGCCCTGGCCCTGTACCTCGCTGTGTGAGAAACTAGGGAAGTCCATGGCTGGGTTTTCTGAAGTCGGGGTAAGATCAACCAAAGACTCCGAAGGATGGTGTGAGGAAGTCTCTGAATTGAGGGTGGTGCGGATTCTATCTATATCTATAATGTCAAGTATTGTCTGGCGATGCTCAGCCGAAATCTTCGGACCCACGTCAGATATTGATGTGGATAGATCAGAGCACGTTCTAGAACGTAAATGAACGGTATCTGGGTTTGTCACTTGGACACCTGAATCTTTCGCTTGTGGCTCGATGTCCTTGGCCTTGGGCAGTGGCTGCTGAGGTTGCTTGGATTGAGCCTTCAACCGCCCATCTTTGTCCACAAGATCATCAAAGCTACCAGTGGGGCCTGAGGAAGATTTATTCTTTCTTGCCTCGAGTATCGACGCTCGTCGCAAGATTTCCTCCCTAGCTTTGTTCCGTCTTGCCTCAGCTTCCTCGCCCAGTTCTTCGCGCATAGATATATCTTCCGCTTGCCTGCGGTCGGCGGAACGTTCTTGCGGATTAATTTCATCTCCAAGATTGTGCAGGGCTATTGCAATCTTCCGGCGGGAATTTCGTACCCATTGTTTCACATGCGGGCTTTCGTAGACAGCAATACCTGCGGCAAGGAGGATAGTAACAGTGATCACGAGGCCTAAAACGCAAACGTGGATAGAGTTAGGAAAGAGAGCTTGCAGACAACGACACAATATAGCAAAAGGCTGTGTGTTGTTTGAAACATGGAGGCTCTATATGTGCTCTCTCCTCAAGGAATGGAAAGTGGGGATGAGCGGCGCAGGAAGGGAACAGTGCACAAACCTTTAGCTAATGGAGCAGGCATTTCGAATTTGCTTGTTGAGATTAAATAGATTCCCATATAGCTAGCAGTATCAGCGAACTTGGAACATCATGGGCTCGAGATAACTTGAAATCCTTCACATTCCTACTGCACCGGTAGGTTCTCCGAGTTATGTTGCCGCCTGGCTGATTTGCCCGAGCTCCGCCGTCGTCATATCTGGGTCACGGGAATGCAATAGCTCAACTAGTCTAAATATGGTTACCGGCTTCCGCAGATCTAACCGTGCCATGCTTACTCACTCTCTCTAGTGAGTGCGCCACAGTGTACGGAAAACCACACTGTATGAAAAATATTTTGAATATAGTGATCTTCAAAAATTAATTAATAATCATCATCATATCTATCTATAATATAAAGATTATCTATATACTCATTAGAAGGTGTAGAATCCACTATAAATTGAGATTCTATAGAATTATCTTATTATAATTAAGTAACTGTAGAGTTTATAGATTTGATTTTAATTAACTGAAGATTTTTATTAAACATCTTTTTCATCTCATCTGCTCTATAGATCATGATCTTATAATTGACATTCTTAATAGTAAGAACTCTGCCTACTTGTACCTGTCTGTAGAAGAATTTAATAACCTGATGTGACGGGCTGCGCCCGATCAATCATATAGACTATTCCGTTACACTCCACAGATTCCTACCGCTCCGATTCTCGGTCGCCGATCCTCAGCCAAAAAACCTACAGAATTTCTATTCTTCCGCCCTGAAGCTTCACCACATACAAAAACCCCTATTCTTCCACTCTGAAGTTCCACTGTGTACACCACTATGTACATGTATAAATATCCACTTCAATCACTGATTCTCACACTTTCTCTTTCTTTTCTTCTCTAATGTTTTTCTCTTTGTTATATAAGATCTATAAATATTATACTGATCTATTCAGTGTAGACTTCTTTACACTAGAAAAATATTCATTATCTTCTTATTAGAAATGATTATTCATTAAGAAGATATCTAAATATGTAATGATATATAAGAAATAAAGAAACAGTGAATCAGTTAAGCAGACACTGAGTTCTCAGATAAAAGCTTGCTTATTAGTCACTCTGACTCTGTAACAAGATCTTACAAAGAGACAAGATCTTACAAAGAGAATATCAGTGAAAGACTCAGAGTCTGATACTAC